AAAAAAAAAAAAAAAAAAAGAAAATGTTTAGCAACATAAATAATGAGACTAAAAATGTGGATAGAAAGGAGAGATGATATCAGTGATATTTAGTAAGTGGATATGGCAATGAGAGACTGATGGACTTAGGCTTGTGTGATGGATTAGATAAAGAAAACAGGATAGGAGCTAGTTTTCAAGAAGCTTTCAGGAAGAAAGGGAATTGCTGGGTTCAATGTGTGACATATTAAATTTGAAGGGTCAGTGTGACATTGAGGGGGAAATGTCAGTTACGTGTAAAGCTTTAGAGGTCAAAAGAGGACATTTATAAAGCCTCAACTTTGTCACCTTTGCCTGAGTTCTCTCCCTTTATGTTTAGTTTTCTGTTGCACTAGTCTCAGGATAGAATTACCACACACACACACACGCATGTGTGCACACAAATATACATACACACACACACACACACCCCTTCTGATGAGCCTTCTACTTCTCGTTGAACGTCTCTAGCTCTTCTTATTTAAACCTTAATTAAAGTCCCTTCTAAAAAATGTATCTTTTAACAGATACGCAAGAGAGTACATGTCATTTACCAGTTTTTTATTGCATCTAAGTAACTATCTTTCATATGATACTGACAAGGTATAAATGCTTTCAATGTTAAATTCATGTAAATATCCTGCACAAATATACTAAATTAAACTAGAAACGAGATTTCTACTATTTTTAAACAGTGGGAGAATATCTTTTTTTTTATTATGTCATATGCATAATAATATGCTAAACGCAGTTCTAGCTTAAACTCATCAAGAAGAAGCAAATTTATGCTAATATTAGTTATTTCTTTCAGTACTGAATATGCCAGTTTGATTCAAGAATAACAAAACTGCTAAGAAGCTTCATATTTATCTCAAGTGTCTTTCAGAGAGGCTGATCGGTCCCGTGCTGATGAGGCAATTTTATTGTTAAAAAAGCAAATAGTTGAGTTTGACAGCTTCTCTTCCAGAGTCTTCACCGCTTAAGACTGACTACTCCAGAAATTGTTCAAAACTCAGAAGGAATACTTTTCATTCCATTTGTCAAATGTGTAGAAATCAAGACTGAGAAGCTATGTAAATTATTGACACTTAGAACAGTTAATTTCAACGTATGTAAAATGAAATAATGTTAACACATTTGTCTAATACTTATTTAAGAAATAACCCCCAAGAAAACAGTAGAACAATATCCCTTGTTTGTCGTAGGCACAACTATATCTACAACAAACAAGTCATTAACTACAATAATTTAATATTTAAGTTTTACTGTTTTCTAGGGAGGCTCTTCACTAGCTTGAATAATATTCTAATAACATCTTATTGCTGAGAAACCATATTTTGTCTGCTAGAGGCTATAATCAACTAATTTCCTCTAATGACACCTGAATCCTAACTAAAAGGGTTAAACATTTTTTCTCATTTTTGTAATAAATAATCTAAGTGTCTTAATACCAATCACATGAAATTCCCTCAAATGTTTACTCTCATTTCCTAAAAATGGGCAGATCCAATGCTTCTTAAACATTCATCTTACCTTTTTGATGATAACCGGGTAGTTAACTGAACTGCTTCAAAAGCACACATCACAAGAACAAAGGGAATTAAAATCTGTTTAAAAGAACAACAAATGATACCATGGGTAGCTGAACCATTTGAAAACTATTTGAAATAAATACTCTTTCTGCTTATAGAAATATTTCAATTTCTCAAATAACTTTTATATATATATTAGTGAAGAACAGTGAAATAAGACCATACCAATGACATATAGAACCGTGATGAAACTGATTTAAAAATCTACATCAATCACGTGTGTAGTATAAAAGATAACAAAGACGAACATGCATTCCAAATAAAACCTATTACAAATTTTTGCTCTATTTAATTCATAATAATTAATGACGATGTTCAAATGATTTCAAGAGGGTGTGAAAGGTACAGAATGCCCAGATCAAATAAATCATAGAGCCTGATAATTTGATTCACAGATCCTTGAATCCAACTGGACAGTTGATACTATAACTCCATAAACATGACTCAGCTGCTTTACTATTGCTTTTTGTTGTTTTAATACTTATTTATTTCTAATTATAAAATTCATAGTCACTGTAAAAACATCTGAAAAAAATAAAGGTATAATAAAATTTATACTGGTTGAAAATCCATAATCCAGTGCTAATAGTGTTAATATTTTGAGATACAGTCATGCACTGCTTAACGATGATGAGTTCTGAGAAATGTGGTGTTAGGCGATTTCATCATTGTGTGAACATCATAGAGTGCACTTACACAAACCTAGATGGTACAGCCTACTCCACACGTAGGCTACATGGCGCTGATCTTGTGGGGCCACTGCTGTAAACGCAGTCTGGTGCTAACCAAAACACCATCATGTGGCACATGACTGTATGTGTTTTTTGAGGTATAATGGACATATGGCATTATATTAGTTTCAAGTGTACAACAAAATGAATTGATATTTGCATATATTGTGATATAAGAAACGATATAAGGTTTAAAATAATTCAATAGAGAATGGGACATGAGAAAAATGTTGAACATCTTTTTAACATTTCTTAAAATTACATTTGTATTGGTGCAGCAACAAAAAAAGGATATTAATCCTACTAAGAGAACATACCTTTAACAATTATTACTTATGTGATGTGAACAGAAGGCAATCAGATATTAGGCAGTTATTACTTTACTTAAACAAATATATACTAACAAAATAAAATGTGCCAGGCACTATGGTAGAGGGAATAACACAAGCATAATGACCCTAGAGAAGAAGGGAAAGAACATGAATTACATTCCACCGGAGAGTCTGAACCCCTGGAAAGCTGAGAATTTGTCACGATCTTGGTATCCTCAGGACCTAGCTGGTGCCTGGTGCATTACTGAATATAAACACTCGATGACATATCTGTTTAATGAATGAATCAATTCTAGGTACATGGACTATGAGAAAAATTATAACACGTTGGCAGTCTCATGGGTGAGGAACATGGGTTCAGGGAGCCGCAGATCTTGAGGAGTAATGCAGTTTTGATCTACACTGCACTTTCTCACAGGCTTTAATCACCTTTGATAGAACTTCCTGAACTAACATGGAATCTCTACTCTTGAAGTTAAACGGGCTTAATGGTTAAGTAAAAAGATTAACGGTATTTTGGAGTAAAGGCTGGAGGGTCCCACCTCCCTTCGGTGGGTATCTTCTTTCCATGCTATTTAACTCTGTCACAAAGACTTTATAATCTTAATGTCACAATGAGTTCATAATCTTAATCAGTATCTTAATAAAATAAGAAAATAAGAAAACTAACCTTCCACATCATCAGGGCTCCCATCATAAAAGGACTAAACACAGTCAGAAAGCAATAGACAGAGGTAAGATCAAAGCTAAGGAATGAACACAAAGAAAAAGGATTTTAGAATTCACATTGTAACTTTAAAAGAATGTTCTGCTAAAAAGCACATTTAAATTAATTTTCTGAAATCTATTCTTATTAAAACACAAGCATACACTGTATCAAGGAATATTATGAAGCCACTAAAATGAATGAGGTAGAGCTGTATGTGCTGATACATACCAACTTCCAAAATATATTCTTCAGTATAAAAAGGTACAGAACAAAATCCCAATTTATATTACTTTTTGGTTACATATATATGCTGTTTTCATCTAAAATTACCTGTTAATAGAAGCTATATTCCCAGTTCCAAAAAATGCTGTCACTAAGAAGAAAACCTAAATAGAGTTAAGGAAATGCCAAAACATGTTAGAATTCATACAAATTTATTTTTGATTTAAAAAGATATGCCTATTCTACCATGAGGGTAATTTGCTTTTTTACTTGTACATTTGATCATAAATTGTTGTAAATGAATGTTCCATCATATCTCCTTGTGAATGCATTTTCAAAGAACCAGATTAAAGAAGCAATATACTAAGAACAACAAGGGCTGAGAGATCATCCTCACTTGTCATTAGTAACCTCGGGAAAGTTACTGTTTTCCTCTTCTCTAACATAAGCGAGTCAGGTTATTGTATCTGTAGTTGGCTGCTAACAATTTTTTCAAAAGGAGAATGAGGACCTAGTGCATGTATAGACATTTTCAGCTGAAATACTGGTTTAGTTCATATATGCTTGCTGTGTGCCCACTACAGAAAGAAATAAGAAATCATGTTTTAAAATAATTCAGTAGAGAATGAGACATGAGAAAATGTTAAACGTCTTTTTGACATTCTTAAACTTACCACTTGTATTAGTGTAGTAATAAAAATTAGATATTAACCCTATTGGTGTCTAAGACCCTACGGCTAATAAAGTACTTAAAATAGTGCCTGGCCCACTGAAAGGTTTCAATAACTGTTAGCTATTTATTATTATATACACATAGAGCAAAGTAGTACAGAAACACTGAAGAGGAAATATGACTCCTGACAACTTTCAGTGAAAAAGTGGTATGTGAGCTGGTGATTTGAGCCTTAAATGTATTCATGGATCCACTCATTCAATCAGTTAACTAACCAACCAACATTTGTCGTCTAGTGTATGTCAGAGGCAGAGGTAGGCACTAAGAATATAAATCCGAATAAAATAGTCTCAAAGTGCTCAAATGGTGACTAAGATTATGACAACATGTAGAAGAAAATGAGAGGCATTTTAAAGTAAACAGTGGAAAAATAAACGACATGGTCAAGAAACAGTAAATATGTGTGACAGAAGCTCAGGGTTTATTGAAGGATACAGTGAAAGATGAAGCAAGGAATCTAGATCAGTGGCATATTAATAAAAAGCCTTGAACTTTATTGTGGAGACCATGAAGAGCTAGCAAACATTCTAGGTGGGTGATATAAATGAGAAATACCAGTGACAGTGAGATATTCAGATAAAGGAGACATAATTATTAGAGGCAGGAAATCCAATTAGGAAGCTATTTCAGTAGTCCACATTAGGGACAAGGTTAAGTCTGAACTGGTGCAGCAAGAGTAGAAAGGAGGAATAAGGGGAGACAGTAGGACTTTAGAAATGGACAAGGAGCAGCTAAATATGACAAGTTTGATGGCATAGGTTGCTGGGAGTATGGCAATGCCATTTAATGAGATAAGGCCTGCCAGACAGTGACTTTGGAGAGGAGTGAGCAGTTGTTAGTCAGTTTGGGACATACATGTGGTGATGCTCAGCAGGACGATGGACATATGGTTCTCAAGGTCAAGAGAGAGGTCAGGGCTGTAGAAGTAGATCTCAGAGTTGTTTGCACAGAGGTGTCAGTCAAAGCTATAGGAGAGGATGACATTATCTAAAAACAGTAAGAGGAGAAGGTTAATGACAGAGCTCAGAGAAAAACCTGGTTCAAGATCAGACAAAGTAAGAGTAAGTTTTGGTGAAGGAGAACAGAGATGATATAAAAAGCTAAGAGGGGAACCTGGATCATGTCCTAGAAGTCTGGAAAAATAAGAGAGAAATCAATAGAGTTGAATGTTACAGAGTGGTCAAGTAACACTGAGTAGACTGGACTGTGCAATCAGGAAGCCCCTGCAGACCACTGAGAATAAAGCTTCCACAGAGACACATGAAAAATACTCACAGAGCTCCTATGTGCCACACTCTATGTGCCAGGCACTGTTCTGGGCTTGAGGACATAGTACATAAATGAGGAAGAAATGGTAGCAGCAACTATTTTTTCTTTCAAGGAGCTTGGTAGTAAACAGAAAGGACAAGACGAAATTATAATTTAGGGGGATGCAGGGTTCAAGGGAAAAGTGTTTTATTAGTGTAGGCTGAGTGGAAGAAGCCTGCAAAAAGAGAAAAAAAGCAAAATTGAGAGTGAAAGCAAGAGGCAGAGGAGAGAATGAGAACATTTATTTTCTGGACCTATACGGTCCAAACCTTGCACCACGGTAAGTTCAAAGGAAACACCTCCCTAAGGAGGTTTTGAAGCTGGTCAGCCAGCTTTCTCAAGATGAGAACTTACTCTGCCATATTGTCTTTCAAACTTCTGACACAATACTGCCTCTGATGTGATCCAAAAACCTTGTGAGATAGATGTCGTGTAACATGAGTATAGCATAAAATACTCATAAAAAGATACAAACCAAACTCATAACAGTGGTTTCTTTGGGATGAGGGAAATTAAATTGGAGTTGAGAGCTGAAAGGAGACTTTGGTCTTAGCCATGATATTTTAATTTTTTTTAAATGTGTGACATGTGTGACAAAATATTAATTGTTGATTCCTTGGATGGGAGGAATACACACATATACACTTGTTTGTTATATCACTCTTTATGCTTTTCCACAGTTTCAAAAAGTTTTTAAAATGTGAGCCTTATGAGAAAATTATGGTTGAGAGAAGGGTTAAATGGCCTCTGAGGTAATACCACTATTATGTGACAGGCAGAAACACCTTCCACGTCTTCCTACTCCATTAGCTGGGAGGTTGCAGCATCTTTAAACAAAAATCCAAAGAAAAGATACAAGAAAAAAGGCCCTCCGGATGTCATCCAGACAGAGCTGTCGGAACTGGGTTATATCAGTATTATAGATGAACTGGATACCGTTGACCTGTGAGAGAATAAGAAATATAGGAATGCACAAATAACCGTTTACCTTCTACCCTCAAAGACAAACTTACAGTCTAAGTTACAATAGCTAGAAAGATACTCTGTACTGACATAAAAAAAGAAAACAATAAATCTTCTCCTATAGCTTAATTACACCTTAACAAAATCTGCCAAAAAGGCAAAATATATTGCTAATAATATACTGAACAGAGTGGCAGTATTGCTTCATATGTAATAAAAATGAGAATTGGGATTTTTCTTATCCTATATAAATGCTTCACTTTTAAATTCCTGTATAATTCTTCCCTTTTCTAAGACCTGATTTCTCAGAGTGTCCTATCTTCTCAAACCCAGGTAGGGTATGAAATTAAAAAGCATGATAAAATTAAATATTTCTCTGTTTCTTGTTCTTCTGATAATTCTATTTGTGGAGAAATTACCTTCTGTCTATAAAAAAGCAAAATATTCCTGTCTTTGGTAAAATAGAAAGTCACTCAATTCCAACAAGATGGGTGCACTCTTGCTTAAGCCCCCTCCCTCGAAAAAAGAAAAATTCATGGGTGAGTTTAAAGGGAGACTGTCCCCATCCCCCACTCCCCATGTAATTTCCTAATAAGTTCTTAGGATGCTTTAATACGCTTTTCTAAAAAAAGAAATTCAGTTAAAAAATAGAATTTAAAAAGTGACACAATAAATCTCATTTTTAAATTTAATATTTATTTAATATTAAAATATTTAACAGTTAGTATGAAGGACAGTCTGACCATTTACTTGATCAAAACTGCTTTTCATGTATTATTTTAGTATTCCAGGGCTGTAAGTTAAAAACCAGTAATTATTCAATATACTTCAATAAAGTTTCTCCTTTATTGAAATTAATTATTCTAAATTATCAATTACTCTCTGTAAACTCAACTGGAACCAGTTAAGAATGGATCAACTATGAAGGTGTTTTCCTGCAATATTCATTTTATCTGACTTCAGTAAAACTGTAAATATTCTATTGCCAAATTCTTATAATTACCTTCAGTTCTAAAATAAAGGCAAGAGATCAATTTAACTCTCTGCCTCAGCAAAAAGCTCTTAAAATGTGGTTGGCTTCTAGCCATCTCAAAGTATACTGTGTTGAATAAACAGTCTAAGATTTGGACTGAGGCCACAATCACTAAGGTAACAATAAGCATTTTGAGGTAGGATGTTTAGAAAGAAAAACACTGGGAACATAAATGTCACTTTCTGATCAAATTCATAAATTGACTTGCGACAACATAAATATTCTTCCAACTAAAATAAATTGAAGGAAAGAAAAATCAGATGTGAAAACAGGAAAATAAGATAAACAGCATTCTTTCTCCTCCGTCCCTTCACATATATGGATGTTTTTTACATGATTCTCAAATAATTTCTAAGAAAAGCCCAACCTACATAATGCCTATAAAACAATAAAATGACGCTTTTCTAAGTGCAAAATTTCCTTATAAACTATTCGCTTAATTTAATTATTAATTATTAACTTAATTATTAATGCCTTGATTAGTGAAAAATTTTAAGTAGAAAGAATATTTGATGAAATACCATTGCAGCTTCCTTATAGGATAGAGAATATTTAATATTCTCAAATAAACACAACAATGATTTTGATAAGCTACCTTCTGTTTACAGGAAACACCAGATTGTTGTAGGGTTTCTTGTTCCATGTGTATCCAGGCCAACATCAAACACGACAATACTAACGGAAAGAGAGCTTCATACCTAAGGGGTGGGGGTGTGGGAGTGCAAGTGGAAGGGTAGAAACGAAAAGAAAAAAACATTAAACAAATAAAAACGTAAATTTATACTAAGAGGGCTTTCTCTAAATTAAAACAACCTTGATAATACTTCTAAGTCACAATATCACAAAATTTAAATTTTCTAGGCTTTCCAGAAGAAAAAGTAGGAAAGGAAAGTAACATTAAAATATCAACTCCAACACTATCTTTTTTTTAAAATTTATTAAATCTTGAGATCATTACATGTTTAAACTAGTAGAAATATTTAAAAATTATTCATAAGGTAAGCGATAGATATACCCAAGAAAGAAAGAAAACATTAAGACAAAGGTAAAAAGACAGTTTAAATCCTAAGTTTAAATTATTAATACACTTAGAAGAGCAAGACAAACATCCCAAATTTTGTAAAAAATGGATGCAATACAGGCACATAAACCTCTCAAAAAGAAAAAAAAAGCCAATAAATACATGAAAATGTTTGCCCTTATTGATAAACTAATACGGAAATTAAAACATTAGAGAGATAACATATTCACTTATCATATTTACCTACCTAAAAAAAAATATTGTTGACAAGAGTGTAATGAAAAAGGAACTCGCATACTTTATAGGAATAAATACTTTCTGGAAGGCAATCTAATACTATGCATCAAGAATCTCAAAAATATTCATATACTATAATCCAACAATGTCACTTCTAGGAATTTACCCTGAGGAAATAATCAGATATACCCACTATGATCCCCATATGAAGATGTTTGTTATAATATTGCTTACAGAAGGAAAAACAGGAAACAATCTACATATCTACAGGGGAGTGATTAAATAATGTATGGTACATTTCTAGGCTGGAGTATAATGTGGACACTATAATGTGGACAAAGGAGAAATGTTCATGAGATAAGACAGGGACAGAAGACTTTTCTAATCCTTTTCTGTCCTAGTTTGGGGTAAGTGTCCCACCTCTGTAATCTCCAAAATATTCCATAACAGTACGTATCACACTGTTTTAATCACGTTTGCTTATATGCATTCCCCGCTAGTTTGTAAAATCTTTGTGTCAGTCTTGTCACCACTGCAGGTCCAGCTCTCAGTATTTGTTGAGTGAGTTACTTACCTAACTGAGAGTTACAAAACAATATCAAACAAATCAAACCAAAACAAAAGAAGTTTATTTCTCTTTCAACTTTTTCAACTATAGAACTCTACTCCACATGGCACTATTTCCTAAACATGAGAAAGTAAAAGAAACAAAACGCTTTAAATCTACCACAGATCATAAAACTAAAACACTGAAGACAAGGCGGAAGGAAAGACTGAGGTTTAAGAAAGCATAACAAATCACTTGGTTTATAAGATTCAGAATGGCCAAGAATATGAACAGACAATACATAGAAGAGAAAATATCATTAGTAAAACAAGTATAGGAAATTATACAAAGCTGTACCATTTCTGATCTATGAAAATAGCATTTGATATTCTTAATTTAAAATGGTAATACCAAATACTATGAAGGATATGATGAAACAGGACCCCTCATAGGTTGTTGTTGATATAATAAACTGGCACTGTTCTTAAAACAAAAGTAAAAGAAAAAGTTCATATTCTATGGCCCACCTATACTACATCTGAGAAGTGGCCAAAGTAAATAATGTAAACTATGTAAAAAGCTAATGTAGGGGCCGGCCCAGTAGCGTAGCGGTTAAGTGCGCACACTCCACTGCGGTGGCCTGGGGTTCGGATCCCGGGCGTGCAAGAACGTACCGCTTGTCAAGCCATGCTGTGGTGGCGTCCCATATAAAGTGGAGGAAGATGGTCACGGATATTAGCCCAGGGCCAGTCTTCCTCACCAAAAAGAGGAAGATTGGCGACAGATGTTAGCTCAGGGCTTATCTGCCTCACAAAAAAATAAAAAAAATAAATAAAAAGCTAACATATAAAAACATAACTCAAAATATTATTTATGATAATAAAAAGTGGAAATAAATAAAATGATCAAAAATAGAGGAATGGCTAACTAAATCAAGGTGCATCCACATCATAGAGTATTAAATGTCTATTAAAATGATGGCTAGGAAGCTTACGCACCACCACCTGGGAAAATACTTCTAAAATAAAGTTAAGTAGAAAAAAAAGATACAAAATAGTACATGGACTATGATTAATACTGTGCTAAAAAGACAAATACAGGGCCGGCCCTGTGGCTTGGTGGTTAAGTGCGCGCGCTGCGATGCTGGTGGCCCGGGTTCGGATCCCGGGTGCGCATCGAGGCACCACTTCTCCGTTCATCCTGAGGCCGAGTCCCACATACAGCAACTAGAAGGATGTGCAGCTACGACACACAACTATCCACTGGAGCTTTGGGGGAAAAATTAAATAAATAAAATCTTTAAAAAAAAAAAAAAAAAAGACAAATACAGAGCTAAGACTGGAAGGAAATATACCAGAACATTAACAAGAGAGGCGGGGTTAATAGATGATTTTTCCCTTTATCCCTACTTTCCAAAATACGACTATACTCTTTTTACAATTGAAAAACAAAGATTTAGAATGCCCGTATCCTAGTCATTCTTTAAAATTTAGTTCAACTTCCACATGGGTCCTCGATGGTACCAATTCAGCTCCCCTACTCAAACTCCTTCTCTCCTCAATTTTTATGTCACACAATTCACAACTTTAACTCATAACAATGTAATTGTTGCATTTTGTAATTGCCTAACACTGTAATATAAAGTCCTCATTTTATAGCAGCTTACAACTCTATTACACACTAATTGTTCTGCCTGTATGTCTGCCTAGTGCTCAGGACACTGGAGATGTGAAAGAACAATTGTCGATTAATTGAATCAAGAAAGTATATACTCTGATTTTCAGAGTATATACTTTCAGAAAAAATATACTTTCTAAAAAAATCAGAATCTGATTTTTTTAATATTCTCAGTTATATATTAAATTATTCTTTCCTAATATACAAAAACATGAATTCCGTAGTTCTACAAATAGTGTCACAGATTTATTTCCTTTCAAAAACTATAAACTATGATCATTTTCTTTTGTAAAAAGTAGAGGAATAAATATGATAAAGACAATCTTCCTATGGGACTTTATTTCTTTAGACAATCAATATCTTGTATAAAGTCTGCATATCTGATTTAATAAACTGAAACACCAATAAAATGTCATCACAGGCTCACAGTGTACATAATAAAACCTTACTAAATTAGGATCTGCTAGTTTGGTCTCTGTGCAAATTGAACAGGGCTGAAAAGGCATTAAGTTTTGCATTATAGTTTGTTAAGGAAAGGGATAATATAACAAAATTTCAGAGGGAAATGTTTAACCAACTTAAGAGAACTATTTTCAAGTATTACAATAGCTTCCATTTACATAAAAATAATTAGATGCTGATTAAAAATGAACCTCCTTTATTCATTAAATCAAAGATGCATTGTTAGAATTTAGGATTACTATTACTGTATTTCTAGAAAGTAATAAAGCTGCATTTCTTTTAAATATCCTATAATTCTGACTATTCACTAATTTACAAAGAAACCCCCTGGGTCATCCAAAATAGCAATGTAGAACGAGAGCAGGTGGACTATGTTTTGCAAAACTGATTTGACACTGAAAAATGTACTAATTGAAATTATTAGACTGTGCTGTTTCAGACTACTCCTGTTGAATTTTTTTGCAAAGGTAAGTAAGGTCATACTCATCATTAATATTCTGATTTTAGGCGTGAATTTTCACTTTTTGGATTTTCTTAAAATAAATATGCTCATGATAATCTGTTTTGGTATCTTTCAAGACTATGACATTGAGGATTTAAAATACTATAATACTCATTATCCCCAATGTAAGTTATATGATTAACTTATTCTACATTATGAAATATTTTTTCACTCAAAATTCAACTTTAATTATCCTTTCTTTCTTTATTCCTTTATTTTTAATCCAGCAAACCAGATCTATTTCTAGATTTGTTTGTATTTTTAAATCTACTACACATTCCTTTAAATCTGTTGATTGCCTTAGAATTTCAAGGTTCAAAAAAGAAAAGGGCTTATTGATTATTAAATGACTGTGCAGAAGCTGGTATATGTTTCTGGACCCTATCAAGTATTTACTTGCTTAAGGCAACCTCTGGGTGTGATCTCGTAAATGAAATTCGTGCATCACCCCAAAATGGTAGGTTAGAATAGAAACGATTTTATCTTCTGCTTTCCTAACTAGACTAAAAACTTGCGCATATTCTAATTCATATATACTTTGATAGCTTCTGATTATAACCAAATTATTTATCCTGAAATTTCACCAATAAAGAGGAAAAGAGTGAAGAGTTTTAAGGTTTCATTATGTTTATCACTCTTGAGAAGAATATGCTGATACACTTCAAGTTTTATCTGAAAGTTCGAAGTTCTAAGTCTCAAAGCAAGCCCATCTTAAGATCTAATTAGGTAACTGGTGAAAATTTCCATGTCGCTTATATTACATCTTCATAGCTACCCCCCAGATCTGGTTATATAGGGAGAAAGGAAAAGATAGGAGGTGTGGAGAGCTTTCATAAGAAAAGGAAATTTAGTGCCCCACTGCATCATCTCTATCTGGGAACTACAAGAACACCTGGGGTCTAGGTCACTTAGGATGTTAGGGTCTACCATGAAAAGATTTGAGAACATCCCTCTAATTCTGAATTAGGACAACTAAGTTTCCCAAAGAAGAAACCCACGTCTTGGACCCAAAATGGCTTTACAAAATCATCTAAACTAGGAATAATATGTTGATAGCACACTGTTGAATCCCTAGATTTAGTCTAATTGGGATCATGATCCTACATCTGGGCCAAATTTCAAATTGTCTATGAGTGGTGGTTATTCAATTTGTCTGTTCTACTCGGTGTTTGTTATAATATGCATATTTCTCATCCTCATAAGGATTTAAGTAAAAATGAAAGAAAATTCGAAAGTAAGTGAAGAATTCTTTTCTTCAAAGCAGATGGGGAGAGTATATCACTGTTTTCAGAGTTTTAGAGAATGCTTCAGGATCCATCCAAATTGGGCTGCTAGTTTTTGTTTCAAAAGAAAATTTCAATCTTAAATAAAAGTGGATTCTTTAACTTGCAGGAAAATATTCTGAAAGTTTTCTGAATCAAAAGGAATATTTGGATCATCATATATGTAAGAGTAAAAATTTTAAAAAGTATATTCAAAGAAGAATGAGCAAATCAAAGCATAATTTAAAGTGCACGAAAGAAATGCAACAAAAACTACAATTCTTCTAATTCATTGTTTGAGACTTAAAATTCCTCCATAATCAATCAGAATTTCCAACACTGTAGTAAAATGACATTTTAGCAACCTCAGGAAATAAACAGAAAGACAAAAACAACAGGCAATATTATGAAAATGATAAGAAAAAGAACTGAAGATTACAGATCAAATCACATATAGTTCTTACAGAGTAGAAAATATTTATAACTTATTCCTCAAGATTTACATAAATTTTTCATCTCCAGAGGTTAAATACTCATAGAGAAATGTCAATATAGCATTTAAAACTTGCTACTAAAAATTAAATTTTAAAAACAGTTTATACCCTCTGCTTAGAAGGAGGTAGGTTGACATCAAGGAAAGAAGTATGCTAAACAATCGCTCAAGGAGAACCGTGGGACTCAGTAGTGGCAGGACAAAGGAAGAGGCTGCAAGAAAACAAAGCAGGGTAGTGTCAGTATGAGGGACACAACATATGTGAGTTTAGAAGCACTGACTAATCTATTATCATTTATGGCATTTATTGTTTGTGTGACCTTTAAAATGAGGCTATGTTTGCCCTAATCACTTTTATAAGAAATTTTGAAATTTCATATTTTTAATTAAAATTACATTTCATTGTTTTAACCATATTTTGGTTCAGATTTTCTCAATTTATATTCAGCCTCGTTTGCTGCACTGTTGACTCCTAAATGAATAATTTGCTATTTTCTAATATAAATAACAAAAAATGTAATAAAAAATATTACTCAAGATTCAGCAATTCTTCTCTTAATTAGGCATTTAGTTCAAAGACAACTTACTCCCCAGAAACTGATTTTTCCGAACCTCCTCCTCCTCTAAGTTTTCCCACTGCAGAATATGCACTAAAAATTGTAGTGTGCCACTTAGAAAATTAGAGACAGGAGAAAATGACTTTACCATGCATGAGAGTTGTAATAAGACTAACCTTAATAAGTGAAGTAATCTTTCCCCACACAATAAGAAAGCAACTACTTCAGTGGGAAAAGGGCAGGTGAACGCACAGGGGCTCGGGATGGGGGGCAGGGGCAGGACAGCAAAACGTAAATTCCTCCATGTTTATTTTGGAAAGGAAATGTGCATAACTTCCTAATCCCCCTAGTTAGAATGGCAATATGCATGGAGTTAAATGCTCCAGAGTATGGAGACAGACGACTTGGGATGGAATCCTGGCTGAATCACTTATTAACTGTTTAACCATGGGGCAAGTTTGTTAACCCACCTAAGCAGCACTCCCATCTGTCAAGTAGAGATGGTATAAAAAAGTTGTTGTGAGGTTTAAATACACTTTCATCTATAAAATGCTCCCTGAGCATAGTGCCTGGGATATAGTAGGTGCTTAATAACTGTGAGCTGCTATTAGTATTACTAGTCAACATCTAATAAGTTAAATGGAAAGACAATCTCATTCAAAGTCAAGTCACTGTAAGATTCAAGACTATGCAAGTTATATTTATAGTACCCTTAGACAAACAGCTCCTGATTTTTTTCAGATGTGTAGTTCCAATAACGTTATTGGAACGGAACATTGTAACGGAAAGAAATAACATTTTAATATTTCTTATTTAAAAATCCAGTTCAAATGAGACCTCTTCTGTAAAACTGTATTTTCTATCCTTGTTCTACTTTTGTCTAAAGGATTGATGAGGTGCTAAAGGGGAAATAAGAGTCTCCATTCTGAGTGACACAAGTTAGAACCAGTGTCATAACATATAACCCATTTGGGGATCACAGCATGTTAGCAGAAAATGCTCACTGGAGCTAGACGGTGGTCAATTAGCACCTGGAAGAGATCTCTGGAGATATCACTGACCTACCTATGAGTCAGTTATTTCATGCCTTGCACCATTTGGTAGGCATCCTCTAGTACCTACCTCTTCCAATCCCAAGGAGGAAATATCTCGTTTAAAATATACGTCCAGCCTACAAGAGATGCACTTCAGATTTAAGAACTCATGTAGGCTCAAAGTGAAGGGATGGAAAAAGATATTCCATGCAAGTGGAAAGCAAAAGAAAGCAAAGGGAAGCTATAGTTATATCGGACAAAATAGACTTTAAACCAAAAACAGTAACAACAGACAAAGAAGGTCACTATACAATGATAAAAGGGCCAATTTATCAGGAGGATATAACAATTGTAAATATACATGCACTTAATATAGGAGCACCTAAATATATTAAGCAAATACTAACAGATCTGATGGGAAAAACAGACAATATAATAATAGTAGAAGACTTCAATACCCAAATTTAAGCAATGAATAGAGCATCCAGAGAGAACAACAAGGAAACATTGGACTTGAACCACACAGTACACCAAATGGACCTAACAGAAATTTATAGAACATTCCATCCAACAGCGGCACAATACATACTCTTCTCAAATGCACATGGAACATCTCCAGGATAGATTATATGATAGGCCACAAAACAAGCCTTAGCAAATTTAAGAAGCCTGAAATCATACCAAGTATCTTTACCAACCACAAGGGTGTAAAACTAGAAATCACAACAAAAGGAAAGCTGGAAAACCTATAAATATGTGGAAATTAAACAACACACTCCTGAACAGCCAAGGGGTCAAAGAAGAAATCAAAAGGGAAATAAAACAATATATCAAAACAAATGAAAATGGAAACATAACATAACAAAATCTATGGGATGCTGCAAAAGCAGTTCTGAGAGGGAAGTTTATAATGATAAATGAATAGAGTACTAAGAAAACAGATCTCAAATAAAAGACCTAGCTTTAGGGGTCGGCCTCGTGGTGTAGTGGTTACGTTCACATGCTCTGCTTCAGCAGCCCGGGGTTTGTGGGTTTGGATCCCGGGCACAGACCTACACATTGCTCATCAAGCCAAGCTGTGGCGCCATCCCACATACAAAAATAGAGGAAGACTGGCACAGACATTAGCTCAGGGACAATCTTACTCAAGCAAAAAGAGGAAGACTGGCAACAGATGTTAGCTGAGGGCCAATCTTCCTCACCAAAAAAAAAAAAACCTCACTTTATACCTCAAGGACGTAGAAAAAAAAGAAGAAACTAAGTCCAAAATTAGCAAAAGGAAGGAAATAACACAGATCAGAAATAAATGCCATTTCTCAAACATAAGATTGGCATAAATTCAAAAGCTTGAAAATAATTGATTGGCACTGGTATAAATTTATTGATTGGCATAAATTCAAAAGAGGCTATGGGGAAATAGGCACTCTAATATATTGCTGGCAGGAATGAAAAATGGTACAACACCTCTGGAGGGGAATTTAGCAATATCTAAAAGTACTACATGGGCATTCACCCTTTGAATCAGTTACCAACTTCTAGGAATTTATCCTGAAAACACACCTCTAACACTATGAATATGCATATGCTCAATGGTATTCACTGCAGGATTGTCATTTTTAAAAAAATCATTACTTACCTAAACATGAGAGCATAGGAGATTGGCTAAATAAACAATGTAATACACACACAATGGAAAACTAAATAGCTGTAAAAATAAAGAGCTCTATGAATCGATATGGAGTGATTACCAGGAGATATTATTAAGTGAAAGATGCAAAGTACAAAAGAAGATATATAAAATGCTACCTTTTGTGCAAGAAAGAAGGAAAAATAAGAACACAAGCCTATATCTGTTCACCATTGCAAAGAGAAACACATGAAGGATAACCAGAAAGCAATGAAGGTTATAACCTATGAGAGACTGGGGGCAAGGATTATGGGGCGGAAGTAATATAGGCAGCACTTCTTTGAGCATACCTTTTTTGTACATTTTCTATGTTTGAAAGCATGTGAATATTCTACATATACAAAAAATTAAATCAAAAAGAATGGGAAAGAAAAAAATACCTAAAACAGAAAGCAAACTGAAACAAACAAAGCTAATTGTATTTCAAATAAATACCAAAATCCCAATGAACAAAATGGAGAAAGGAAGGGAGGGAGGGAAGGAGCAAGAATGGGAGGGAGGAAGAGAGGGGGGAAGGCAGGCAGGCAAGCAAGCAAATCCAAGTAATTAGGAACACAGTATTTAACCATAAACCCTTGGTCTTGGGCAGGGTGGAATGTGGCAGGCAAAGTGAGAACTTCAAACAAATCCTGAATAATATTTAGTAAGTTTGTTTATTGTAATGATATGGGTGAAACACTTCTTAAATTATTTTAAATGTATTATAGGATTGAACAAATGAGTAAACGTGTTGATGTTTTTGGGAGACAGGGTTATCATTGTGGAAGGAGGAGCATATAAATATGGAATGGGGAAAGGCAAGAAAGAACTTTGTGGGGATAGACAGAATTAGAGGTATCAGTGTGAACTTAACGATTTCTAAAATATGTATAGGAATTTGTATATGCATGTTTATGTGCACAGTATATATACATGTGCACACATATATATATGTGAAAATGTATGTGTGTATATATTTATATGTAATAGTAGGTATATGTATGTATATTATATACACGCATATATTTCCTAGCTCTGTCCACTGAAGGGCAAAGAAGCAAAGATACCTAGTAGTGATGAGTACAACTAGCACTCAGATCTTGGTCTCTAATATCATCCGCTTGATAAAAAGAACTGTTGCTCCTCAGAGAGATAACTGATTCCAGAGCTGGGGCAGGGTGGATATAAGGTGGATATAAGGTAAGCCTTGTAAGTTAACATCTTAATGCCAGAAAGTAAGAAAGTACTCAAAAAAATTATGGGGTCCTATTCACAAGCTACCTTGAAGGGGCTCTCGCTGGCTAAGTCTGGGACAATTTGAGCACCAAAATATCAACAGTAAAAAGTTATAAACCTTTGAAAACACAGGAGCTCATGAGTCTACAACAATAATCAACAGATAAGTGAATAAATGAAGGAATGGATGAATAGGAAAGAAGGGAGGATTCTTACAGTAGAATGCTGAGAGCCTTCTGGTAAATGCAGTGGGAGTGCTGGAGCTAGAAAATCATGATTTTGTAGCCATCATGACAAAGACTAGATCAGAAAAGACTTATGAATGGATGGAATCTAAGGAAAAATTTTGATGAGAAGGATATTTGATGGTCTTAGAGCGTCTCCCCACAGACAGCTTATTAGTTGCAAGGGAAGGGGAAAAACAGTAAATATACAGTGAAAAAACTGGGCAACACCTTGACAGGGTGATGGAAATTAACATCTCCAATGAGGGACAGATAGAGATCATGTGCCTCCAAATGTGACTCTGAGAAGGACACAACATCACTTATGCAGTATTCTGGCCAATAATGTACAACCTCAATTTAATTACAAGGAAACATCAGACAAATACAAACTGAGTAACAGTCGGGGTGTGGGGTGGGTGGGATTGGCTATATTCTTCAAAAATGTCAATGTCACAAATGACAAAGAATGGAAAAATGCCGTAAAGAACACTACTAGGTCAACTGAAAAATTAATATATGAATGGTAGAATAGATAAAAATATTGAATACGGTGTTTAAAAAATTTTATACATACATACACTCATAAACACAGATAAGGAACAAGCACACAACATGGAGGATGGCTTTCTGTAATTCTGGTAAATGTTCTTTGTTTTAACCTTTTTAGAAGTTTTAGATGTCTAAAAATGAGATATAATGATAGGTGCACAAATTCTGTTTTCTTCGCTTCTCTTCATTGTGGTTTATCGCTAGGTAGTTAAGAAAACTAAGGAGTTGAGCCAGGCTACACTGCAAATAAATGAGGTTATGTGGTAAGCAAAAGCTGGGCTGCTACTTACGTACCCCTAATCTCCTATTTATTATTTGCCATATATTGTTTATCTGATGGTGTGTGTTGTATATGACTGCACATTTGTGAAGGACTTCCCTTTAACAGCGTAGTTGTCATCCATAATTTTTGGTTTCTCTGTGTATTTGAAAACTAGCAAGTCATATGAGAGGTCATTACACAGAGTTACCTCACTAGAATATTAGCCCCCCAGCCCCGTCCCTGCAGAGTGTAAGCTCCAGAAGGGCAGGGATTCAGTCTATCTTTATTATTCTCAGGGAACAGAACAGTGCCAGACATATTACACACTGAACACAATTTTTTAAAATGAAGGAGCAGTCATAGATATTGTTCATGCAGAATGAATGTAAATAGTAACTTTATTAATCAAGATAATATAAAAGGGAAGGCCTGCAGAATGCCCATAATGAAATGAAGCTTACATAATGAAAATGAAGTTATATATATAATGATAGCAGTTATTGTCCAAGAATAATTTCCACTTATACACTGACCAAGGTGTTCGGAAAAGCTGCTTCCTGTTGTATTTTTAAGCCTCTGCTTGGATTTTAAAATCAATCCAAGGAAAAACACTCCTATCTCTTAATCCTCTTTTTAAAGTGAAGTACCATCCAAAGATCTTTTAATGATGAACAACAAAAATCATTTAAAAAAATATAAAGGTTAAATTGCACATCACTTCATTCACAGGCATTATAAAGTGTCTTTTTTTTTTTAAACGAAAAACCTGGACTTAAAAGCTTGCTCCCGTCCTCTAGTTGGAAGGAAAAGCCTAGGTCCTTAAATTACATCTGTTTGCTTCACATGCATATTCCAGCATTCTTAAGTAAGAGTCCTATAGAGAAACATGTTTTGGAACGTTTAACTGGCTTTATAAAATATGTAATGTATTGGGAGGAGACTAATCAATGTTATTTTCAGCAAGAGAAATACAGATAAAATTTATCTGTTTCCTAGTCCCTGTGTAAGAACTGAGAATTTATGAATTGACATGAAATTTCAGCAAAGGAATCTCTTCACAAAACCCTCTTCTGTTCTGGAATCACTTAGATTTTTATCAGATGTGAATAAATATTCACACCCTTATTACCAGGTCATAAATATTCTATCAAGTAATTTTTATTAACACATGAATGCTCACAAAAGTTCTAATTTTCTTTGTCGAATTCAAGTAAAAGATAGAAATAAATGCTGGTTGTTATTATTTTCCTGCAATAAAATTATTTCTTTCAATAACAATAATACAGATATAAATGGATAATTTTAAGATATGACTTAATGTAAAGTTATCTCCTTTGGTTTGATTGACCTCTTACCTAATGTTATCCAGCTAATAATCTGATTAATACGAGGAAGTCCTTGTTTCTTGAGTAGACTGTTATGGGTGCTATACACAACATACATGGAAAGCACTGTGCTCAGCATCTGAAAAAAAATACAAAACACATAAATAAAAGAGAAGGCAGTGAGAGACTAATTTACATATTAGAAAGAATACTTTAAAAATTGCTTAAACAATTGGAATTTGGCCAAAATGCTATTGAAATTGGACCAGCTCACCTTCTTGTGACCCAGGCTAAGAGTTAGAACTCTTGTAAAGGTCCTCCTTTACAAGCATGAAACGAAGCATTTTACACTTTCAAGAGCATTTTGGCATACATTATCACATAATGAATAGAAATATTCATTATTAACTTTGAAAGTTTCTGAAATCAAGAAAACGCAGAGGATGAAATGTATACAGCTTAGTGTTGATGGTTTAGTGTCTTCTACCTCTGGCCCTCACCCACATTATTCATTCAACATGTATTTGCAGCCTGAGTATTCACCTGATACTGGGAATACAAGGAGCATAATATTTCTCAAGGAATATACATAAACTAGTGTAGAGTTGGTAAACTACTTGTAGGCTGGTGGCCCGTTTTTAGAAATACTGTATTATTGGAACATAGTCACTCCCATTCATTTACGTGTTGTCTATATAGCTCCCTTTGCATTACAATGGTAGGGCTGAAAATTTACAACAGACTCCATATAACCCATAAGCCTAAAATATTAACAATCTGGCTCTTTAGAAAAATGTCTGCTGACCCCTGACCTAGTGGATTAACTACCATTTTAAGATATGAGCTCATATATGGCTGTGAACAAGGTAAACTCTCTTAGAGATCAGATTAGCAACCTCATCACCAAATCTTAGAGATATATTTAATTGACTCATATTTTCAGTGAATTAAGAAGAAAAAAGTGCTGTCACTAAAGCTATGACACAATCCTAGGATCTTTTCAATTGTAAGACACAATCTCATTTCAGAGATGTTAAAACGTGAAAAGATATTTATCTTGGAATCAATGAAAAATATGCTATACAGTAGAGGAATTAATGCAAATTAATAAGGTTAATGTAAAAAGGAATTTCTTAACAGATTTACCTTATACTCATGGGTATTTTGAACAAAGCCCATGGGAATTTTAATATGATATTCTTTGCTCCTATAGTGAGATTCAGAAACAATCACTTCTGCCACAAAGTACTCATTATTATAGGTGAATTCTGTCAAAGCTACTATGAGCGTTAGTGTAAAGCCAGTCAGTGTACCATTGAAAATGAAAGATATGTTCCAGTGGCTTGACAGGATCTTTGACAAAATATTTCTTCTTTTTTTATATGTTCTCTAAGAATGAATTAACATCTTTTAAGTGTTGTATATTTTTATTTCAGGGTATTCTTGGAAATATTTTCTATTATCCTGTTCTGAGGAAATTTTTTTTTTAGTGAGGAAGATTGTTCCTGAGCTAACATCTGTTGCCAATCTTCCTCTTTTTGCTTGAGGAAGATTGTCCCTGAGCTAACATTTGTGCCAATCTTCCTCTATTTTTTGTATGTGGGATGACGCCACAGCGTGGCTTGATGAGTGATGTGTATGTCTGCACCTGGGATCTGAACCTGTGAACCCCGGACCGCCGAAGCAGACTGCGTGAATCTAACCACTATGCCACTGGGCCAGGCCCCTGAGGAAATTTTTTGAGAGACTCATATAAGGTGTTTTTTTTTTTCAGTGTTCTAGATGTGGTTTTTTAACTTAGATTTTTATTGTTTAAAAGAAAAACAAAGTGGTTTCCACTGTTATCTACAAAAAAGCTATCATTTTACAGAATATGACATTACATAATCTCTATTTCTCACAACCCTATTAGTTATTAACTCTGCTTTACAGGTTAAAAACAAACAATCTGACGTTACATTACTGAAAATCACACATCTAGTATGCAGCATAACTGAGAATTGACTCAATTTTGAACTGTCAAATTCAAAGTTCTTTTCACCACACCAAAGCCACTAACCAAGGTGAAGTTTATTTTCTCCTAGAACTTGTCTGAAGTCTTAAACTGGCTATTCTTCACATAAATATAATCAAAGGCTACTTTCACTTCAAAGAAGCTTACCTTTTTCCTGACCCAAATGAGAACAACACAGAATCTCGAGTCCAAAGCAGACCCTTTCCAGCTCAGCATTTTGGTCAATACAGACGCCTCTTGTGTCTCCTTAACTTCTGCTCTCTAGGCATCTTGGGGCTGCCTATTGACCTTTTTGCTATTTCATACCTTTTAGAGAATATATTTCCATGTAATATCTTAAACAGAAAACTGTCTTCTCAGCTGACAGATATTGGGTAAAGTAAACGTCATGGCATCTTATGAACAACATAATTAAAGACAACCATAAGATACATTTTGGTATATCATTAGTATAACATAGTGTTGAAAATCCATAACTGACCTGTAATAGATGCAAAAATAGCTCTTCATTTACAAAACTGTCTTTCCTTTTTGTGAGAGATGTTACAACAAACAGGGATAGCAGAAGCAGCAGCAAGCCTGCACTCATTCTGTTTTAAAACACAATTCACAATTTCAAATTTTCTTAAGATATTTACTGAGCACATATTATATGAAAATATAAGACATTTTACTCTACTGTAGAACTTATTTGGTTTAATCAAGATGAAGTAGCAAAATGGATACACAGGTATAATAGGAATAAAAACCTTAGGATAAAGATACTATAGGGATGGAGTTATTTGTAACTTCTCACAATTTTTTAAGTATCTTTACCTTAATTCTATAATTTGATTTTTAAAACTTTTATGCATACCAACTATGATAATTCTTAGCCTGATTAGACAAATTTACAGAAAACAATATGAAAGATAGCTAAACAAACACATCATCAGTATCTATAACACACATTTTCTGACTATGAGCATTTAACTCATACAAAAAGGATCTGTATTTACAATCCATACTACTCCTAGCAGGACAAACTGCTCCTTTTTATCACTGACCTTGGTGACCTTTAGCCAGCTATTCCTGGCTAAAGGAAGAGTAAGAAGGCAGTTACAAGGGTGTCATGCAGGTGAAACATTTTGTACAGTAATGAAACAACAAATTATACTTTTTCAAGAACACCAGGTGTACTATGGTTCCTGAAGTCAAAGGAGACTGACATCAAGGAAATGGTATACTAATGTTGAGCTCTGACTCTCATTTCCTAAAAATCTGAATAACATAGGATGACTGAAATTGAGGACAGAATCTGGAACCTAGCAATATAACAGAACAAAAAGGAGTTGGTTTAAGAGAAATACGACAGAGCAAAAGGCAGGGCTAGAGAGACTGCAAATCAGGAATTCCCAGGAAAACGTGTGTTTGGTTTTTTTTTTGATTCTTCTAATATTCTTTTTGTGAATCATAAGGGAAAAAAAGTAGTTATACATTCAACATGGATTATCATTAAAATTTATGAAAAACAGCCATGTGTGATCAAGATTCTTTGTTTGGGGCTACTCCGGTGGCCTGGTGGTTAAGTTTGGCACGCTCTGCTTTGGTGGCCTGGGTTTAGTTCCCAGGTGCGGACGTACACCACTCGTAGTGGCCATGCTGTGGTGGCAACCCACATATAAAATAGAAGAAGACTGACAACAGATATTAGCTCAGGGCGAATCTTTCTCAGCCAAAAAAAAAAAGAAAAGATTCCTTGTTTGCTTTTGCTTTTTTCAAAATAATGTGGTATTTTAATTCATTGACAAATGTTTTTACTTTAGAGAACTAGAGTAACAGGGATTTTATAGCTATGTTATATACATTTTTGCTTTTTCTTTTAATTTTATCCTTACGTGTTTTACATATCTATCATTGTAATTTTCTAAAGAAGGGAGGTGATGTGAGAGTTCAAATGGAGACCAGAAATTTCTCCATGAACCAGGAGTCAAAACAGTGAAGTTGCAAACATAGCTACTAAGAAATCAACACAAACAAATCACTAAGGAATTAAAAAGTACAGAGAGAAACAACATAATTTTGTGTGTGTGTATGAGGAAGATTAGCCCTGAGCTAACAGCCGTTGCCAATCCTCCTCCTTTTACTGAGGAAGATTGGCCCTGAGCTAACATCCGTGCCCATATTCCTCTATTTTATGTGCGACGCCTGCCAGCATGGCTTGATAAGCAGTGCATAGGTCCGAGCCTGGGATCCGAACCATGAACCCCAGGCCACCGAAGCAGAGTGCAAAAATTTAACCACTACGCTACTGGGCCAGCCCCACAACATAATTTTTAAAAATATAAATTAGATTTCTCATGTTTTAATAAGTTTGCTTCCTGAATTCATCTTGACTACAATACACAAGTGGCAAATTTCTACGAAGACCATTTATACAATTTCTTTTCCTTCTAACATATGATAAATTCTGCTCAACTATATCAATACCGCTTGAGCAGGACAGACAGGCAGAGACTGATTAAAGGAGGGAAAGGGGCTTCCTAGAGACAAGAGCTCACAGAGCAATATGAAGCAAGAAATAAATGAAAATATTTGAATTCATCCTCTCACATACTATTTTTAGTTTATGATAGCTGCAAAATGTTTTTACTTAGTAACACTAATAAAGTATGGATTAGAAGGTTTGGTCTTAGAATTCCATACAATTATTTGGGGCTCTGTTAATAAATTTGACTTCCTGGAATAATTCCTGATCTAGTCTATTTTGGTATTCTTACAGAAATGAGACAAAATGTGTAGAACCTCATAAATTAGCACATACTTCAGAAAACATTGTTTAGTTAATCTTCCTTCAGTTAAAAGAGATATACCCTCATCTATTAAAGATTAGGTTAAAATGTTAAAAAAAAAATGCTTATACAGTTCAAAAGAAAGTAACATGATTACAAGATTAGAAAAAAAGAGAGAAAATGGTAAATGAAATAATGATCATTTAGCTTGGCAAGCACACGCATGCACGTACACACACACACATACACACACACACAGAGCCAGTAGATTATTTGATACTAATTTAAAAGTAAGTTAAAATTAAAGGTAACCAATTATTTTACAAATTTATTTAGGACATACTGAGGAGAAATAAATACAACAGCAGCATGGGGAATTCAGGTAAGGTATACAGACTTCTCCAACAGTTTAAGTGATTAAACATGGGAAAGTTGCCAAGGTACATAGAGTTTCTTCCCATGGACATCTATACATTCAGATTAGAACAGGAGAGAATTTCCTTTTCCTAAGACATTTAAACTGTAGACATGCTCAAACGCAAAGACACCCATTATATCAATGGCTTTTTAACCTTTTTGTTTTGGTAACAGAAACATTTTTTCATATGAAACCTTTTACCAATTCTCCAACACACAAAAGATAACAAAACTTTCTAGACTTTTCTTTTGGCATTTTAAGTTATCACTGTTTGGCACAATTTCATTTTTTGTGAAGGCCCAGAAGCATCTCCAGGGATATTTAATGACTCTCAGAGCCTGGGCCAAAATTATGACTAATGGTTTGATATTAGTATTTTAACTTCCAGTTTGTTCACGTGATTTTAAACTCATGACCAAGATTAGGTTCACATTTCATAGTGTTAATTGAGAAAAACAACTGTTATTGAAAAGAAAATAAAATATCATTCATACACTAGAGAGATATCCGGCTCTCGTCCTACAACAGGCATCAGAGGGAACGCTGCCAGGAGCAAAGAGAAGAAAATCCAACTCAGTGAGGTGCTCTAAAATAAAGAAAAAGTTATCTTTAGACAAATATGGTACGGAAAACTGTCTTCACTGTTTCACAGACTACATGGCTGTGAAAATAAAAGGAAAATGCAAAGGCTTACATCTATTAAGTTTAAAAAGTAATATAGTTACTATGTGTAAAGGACCTGTTATATAGTAGGTACTGTATTAGGTATAATATGAGCATTATCTCATTTTATCCTCACAATAACCTCAAGTTGTAGCTTTTATTATTCACAATATTTCAGATGAGGAAACTGAGCTCAGAGATGTTAAAGTAAAAGTAGTATCAGGTCTATGACTAGTAAATAAAAGAACCAGAATTTAAACCTGGGCCTGGTACTTCAAAGCAAGTGCTTTATTCAATTTATGTTATGCCATATATTGATTACCTCTGTAAGAAAGCTGTCTCCAATCATAATCAAAATGATTGAGCCAAGGAGCAAAATAAGTAAAAATACTTCTAATTGGAGAATTTTATAAATTCTCATACAGTGGAAAGAAGATATTTCGATCTTCCTGCTACCCCCATCAAAAAGTATTAAAGTGGAAACATGAGAGTATTGATTGTAGAAGCACACTGTAATTCCCTGCCTAAAGGAAGAAAATCAGGAGTAATTACATTTTAAAGTAATCTATCATGAATATATACTTCTCCAGGAAAAAATCTGAGGTGGCTCAGGGCCAGGAGGGAGGTGACTCCTCTGACTCAAGTCCAGAGCGCGGCCCCTCAGCCCCTGCACTGCTCTGGGCAGTTCCTCAGCTGCTCCAACATTTAGATCTTTGAGGCTGAAGAAATCTAGGAAATGCTCCAGAGAAAGACCTATCAGCTCTGCTTCTAGAGTATTTCAATCACCACATGACCAGCTCATTTTGATACGAAAGTCTATGTGAATCACTGAAACCTTAAAGGCAACCTTAATCCTCCTGTCAAAAGGACCAGGCTCTCTATGTAAGGACACATTCCACTTTTTTGTTTAAAAATGAACAATTCCCTGGGTTAAACACATATCAAAACAAAGTAGCTCCCAATCTGTCTAGTATCAAAATGAGTACTTATACCTTTGCTCGAGTCCACAGCTGAGTGATAAACGGCCAGCCCGCAAATGCAATGAGTCCGGCTGTAAGCATACAGCGGTAGAAAAAACTGAGAACCTAGTCATGCATTCCAAAGAAGAAATGAAAAGTTAGGTCATTTAAAAGGAGTTACATATATATGAAAGCGATCTGAAAATGTTGTAATGCGGTAAATGACTTACTAATACTTCAATTCCCAGGGTAAAGACTAACAGGTATCCAACGAAATGCCTCGGAGGAAAGCGCAACAGTGATGCAACAAGGTCTTGAATAACTTGAAATCTGTTTAATGAGATTATTTATAAAAAGATTATTTATACTTTACATTGAATAAAAATATTAGGTCATAAATAATAAAAAATAAAAACTTTCTGCAAAGCTAGACATCAGGGAATTTTCAATTCATAGATTATTCAAAAATTGAGATAATCTCTAATAGATTTATTTCAATGGCTTTACTTATCTAAATTACTTTTTTTGAAATCTAGAAGTATTTTAGGAAAAACTGTAACTTCTGAATTAATTTCATAATGACCACAAAAATTTGCTTGGTTTTTTATAGATAGTAATGAAAATAAGTGAGTCTTGTTTGATCTTAGTTTAAACATGGGTACATACAACTACAGATATAATAACAGAAATAAAATACAATGAACCCAAATGAATAAAATGGAAAAAAAATTCTAAATTCACCAAGGTTAATCTTATATTGAAATCTCAACTATCCTAATGAAATAAAGGTAAGTTTTCCTAATCTAGGTAGAGAAAATCTTAATTGCACTTTTTCACCGAGCTAAATAACCTTTTCCAAACCCAATTTAAGATGTCACTAAATTATACACTAATTGTAATTAAATGTGAATATATAACCATTAAAAATGCATTATACACTTCAGTACTTTTTACACTTCACCACTGGAAAAAAAGCTTTAGCATTTATAGTGCATTATTAAATAGTTAATTATGAAAGTCAGTATATTTGGTTTATGACCTTTTTCTGATTGAAAACAGTGGTTACATAATATATCAAAACGATCAAGGTGCCATGCAGGAAAGAAAAGCTAACATCAGTCAAAAGGAGGATGTTTCTTTCATTCTCAACAGTGAATAAGCACAAATAAACAAAAGATAATTTTGTTAAAACATTTTTTTCTAGAAGAAAAGTGAATTTCTACATTTTATTTTACATATAATCTATCAAAAAGAAAGATAGAATATAACATACTTTCAAAATCACATTTTCCTTTAAAATTTAAATATATATGTCATCTTCATAAATTAGGACATTTAATAATTCAGGAGGGGTTCTGTGGTAGAATAGAATTTTCTGCAAGGATAAAACCTTTCATTCTAAAAATTTAAAAGCAGATTAAATGACATTAGAAAAAAATCTGATTTAAATATGTATATCCAGCAACCCTATACCCTTCAAATGGAGAAGTAACAGTATGTTCTTTTGCCCATGTCTTTTTGCCTTATATTTTAAGATGCTATATTTTAAGCATTTTAATATTAATTTTTATTTTTTATATTTTTAACATTTTAATATTTTTAACACTTAATGTTTTTAAAGAATGGAAGAGGTGGTCAAAGCTGGAGTTAGCAAAAATTAGAATAAAAATACACATTGTGTCATGACACACGTTAGCCAACCCTGAAAATATCCCTTTATTCTGGGCTCTCATTCCCTGGGCTGTTTTAGGGGTCTGGTTTTCTCAGAGGATGCCTGGATGTCCACAACTAAGTTTAAATTCGAGATTATTGGTGCAAATACAGAAATCAACAAGATCTACAACATGACCCTTGCTGCCTGTGAATGTGAACCAGCACAACATTTTAGTGGTTTTATTTTAAGTGCTTGAAATTTGCCTGAGAGCCCTACCTCTGATGTTTCTACAATGGCAGAAATCCATTTTAAGTCTACCTGTGAGGAAGTACTTAAAGGTAGAACCACAGCACATGTGAATAATATCCACTCATCTTTGCATGTACGCATTACCAGATTGGATTTAATTGCAAAGTTTCATTTATCTAGGTTTACAGGGTGGCTAGGAAAGGAGGGGCAAAAATGTACGGAAAGAAAACATGCAAATTTCTTTATGAAACACAGAGATACGCTGGAATCTGAGATGATAAGACAAGTTCAAAATGTAAGCTACTCCTAGTATGGTACAATCAATATTAATTATTTTATTTTTACTCCAGATTTTCCTTCTAAAAGATACCCAGAGAAGGGAACAAGGTCAATGCTACCTCAGGGCAATCAAGATGAAGTCAAAAGGGAAAGGTAAATCAAAAAGGAAGTTTATATGCAAGATTTATGCTGTTATAAATGATGTGGGAGTGCTTGGAGATTTCAGGGTATTACAAATATCTTTGATGACATGCTACAGAAACCTAATGCACTTTCAATACAGATTTAATTATCAGTGAGGTGAAAAACAAAACAGCAAGATGTGTTACTTACTCTCTTAGAACCGCATACCATGTTGGCACTGGCAATAAACAATATACGTAATAAGTCCAGGGGCAGGCTTGAATCAGCAGGAAAAATACTACTAAAACGCCAATAGCTACAAAACCGTATGGCAGGAGAAGGCTTGTTTTCTGAAAATCAAACAAAACATTGAAATACTTCCAAACTCATGCTAATTAATAGGTTTTTAAGAGATTTTATAAAGTGATGAAAATATATTACTTTCGTTTCAATGGTTCTACAACCAGATGATTAATCTAAGAACTGCATTTTAAGAAATCTGTCATTAAAGAAGCATATTACAGAAGAAAAAGCTAGATAGCCTGGAATTGCTGCAATTAGGCAATTCTCAATTTAAAAGTGACTATGTTCCAAGTCTGCCTGCAAGTAACTTGTTTAGAACTCCCAACATATTTCTCCTTAGTAACAATTTTAAAAATGTTGATTGAGTTCTCTGCCTAGCTCACAAAAACCCATTTAATCCACAATTAACTGTGGGACCTAATCTTCATTTGGAACAATGTTTCCATCTATTCAAACTCCAACTTGACATGCTGCCCACGCTTCTCTCTCCACTGACCAACCACAGTAGGTTCATTCAGTCTCATCTCCTCTTCCAACCACCTGCCAACCAAGAAAGGAGTTCCTCAATGTAAGTCACCAGCGATGGCCTCCATGGGCTGTGAAGGGCCATTGGGGCGCTGGGCCAGGAGTAACGATGCAAGGGCCAGGGACAGAAGTTCCAATGATTGGGAAAGCTGTGATGCTGAGAACAGCATCACATATATACTGATACGAATCACATATATACTGAAAGGATCATATATATACTGATATGAATCACATATATACTGATATGAATCACATATATACTGATTACAGAAAGCTATGATGCTAAGACCAGCACAGGAGAAAACACCAGGAATGGAGGGGTAATGTGGTGCTCTCTTGCCCCCATTCCTTGTTTTCTCTATTTTCCCCTTGCTTTGCTAGCCAGAGCTAAATAAGTTGAGAATTAAGAATTACCTTCTGGAGTAGGGGAATTTAGAGAGCAAAAGCAGAAGATTTTTTTCCGCTTTATAATTCCTCCCTACTGGCCTAAAATGTCAACAGAAAGGAAGTAAGAACCAAAGATAAACTAGGGCATAGTTGTAAAAAGGAAGGCAAAACACAGCATTGTATTTAAGAGTTTGGAGCTACACAGATCAGAATTCAAATCCTGGCTCTGTTACTTGCTCACTGTATGACCATGAGCAAAGTACAAAACTTTTCTGAGACTTAATTTCACCCCATCTATAAAATGGGAATAATGATTCCAATAGGTATTTATCAAGGTTAGTAATGCTTAAATGAGACTATGTAAAGAGGTTAACAAAATGCCCTAAATATTACTACTGTTTAATAAATAATGGCTGCTATTATTACTTTTATTTTTATTCTTTCCTCCTCTACCTTTTTGCATTAGTCCCATAAGTCACTACAGAAACACATAGTGAATAGCACTGGAAATGGAGATGTTTGAGATAGCAATGGAGGTCCCATAGCAAGGGGATGGGAGAAGAAGGGGAAAATCCCAAATAGATGTGGACAGCTGGTGTCTCTAAAGCTGAAGGTGGCTGAGGCAGGTATTCATTGGTTTCACCTCATTTTGAGAATAGTAAAATAATAAGAAAAGAAGTTTAAAAGAGTACATAAAAAAACACTCAAGGAATTTTCTAGAGTCAGTACAATATGGTATAATTATCTAATCCTTTGACATATAAAGTAATAGATATTACAAATGACATCTACTTGTACGAAACTAAATCATAAAGAATTCGGTTCAGCTGAATTGAAAGGATTTTAAACAATGAGAGTGGGGGACATTCTCTACTTCATCATGAATTGACTCCCTGCCTCCCCATGGCCCCCTAAAAAACACCTGACAATAATAAACCATGCCATGTGCATTGTGATTACTCCTGCAACCAACAAACATTTAATAAATCGCATACTCCACGCTCTGCTCTGTGCTAGGTGTGGCCTTCAAGGAGTTTAAACCATACAGTTGGAGATGGAATCGTGGGATTGGTTTAAGGGATTAATATTTTGGGATTTTACTAAGTAATAAGAGAACAAGGAAAAGTATGTGGCAAAATAAAGATATTTAGTTCTAAAGCAAAAAACATTTGAATTGGCAAAAGCAAAGGAGAAGAGTATATAGAAGTTAAATGCAGAGTTCCATTAAGAGGAGCTGTGGCAAATTACATTTAAAGAAAACAGAATATTCACTGCAGACTTGCCTGTAATAGTGAAAAACTAGAAATTACCTGTATAATCTAGGGACACTGTCATGAGAAGTGACATAAACTTTAGAGTCAGACCTAAACTTAATTCCAATGCTGCCATTGTATTTGCTTGTCAATTTCACTAACCCATTTAGCTTGTCTAAAGCTCTGTTTCCTCATGTGGCAATGGAGCATAATATCTGTTGCAAGCTCATCTCTCACTCCCCTTCCAGCCCTCTATAGTCTTAGCCATGTCAATGACTTACAGCTCTTCCAAAAAGCCGTGCTACCTCACTCCTCATTTGGCACATGCTGCTCTCTCTGCACATCGTTTTCCTTTTTCCTACTGGGCTATCCTACTTACCTCTTAAGATTTCCCTTTGGCAATAACCTGCTCTGTGAAGCCCCCTGCAAGCATCACATTCTAATACGTGCACAGCTGCAATCACCTCCCCTCCTAAGTGCTCCTCAGGCCTCCCTTCAGTCAATGTGATTGACTAGCGGCATTTTATTCTTTCTTCCCAACTGGTAAGGTTGCGTCACTTCACTAGATTATAAACTTGCTGAAGAGGAATCAGAATGTTTTTGCCAACAGAACAAAGTGTTCAAAATACTTGTAATGACCTCAGCTGTAATGGTCAGTTTTATGTGTCAACTTGGTTAGGCTATAGTCCCCAGTTATTCAATCAAATACTAATCTAGTATAGCTGTGAAAGTATCTTGTAGATGTGATTAAAGTCTGTAATCAGTTGACTTTAAGTAAGGGAGATTATCCTAGATAATTAGGGTGGGCCTGATTCAATCAGTTGAAAGGCTTTAAGAGCAGAACAGAGGCTCCCCTGAGGAAGAAACTGCACCTGTTGAGTGCAGCTTCAGCTCCTGCCTGCAAGTTCCAATCTGCCCTTTCTGATGGCCTGACCTATGATTTAGGACTTGCCTAACTAGCCCCCACAATTACATAAGCCAATTCCTTACACTAAACCTCTTAATATGTAGATCCTACTGGTTCTGTTTCTCTGGTTTAACTCTAACTGATACACAAACTAAATATAAAGTCTGACCCTATATTCTAGCATTTGAGGCCTATTAATTACTTCTGCCTAATCTATACTGTATTATCTCTTAGTAGGCACTTGAACAAACCTCCCACATTCTACCCAACTTGAACTATTTATTTTAAAGGCAGCATGGTGTAGAAAGAACATGAATTTCAGTATTAGAAAATATTAGTTCTGTCATTAACACTAGTGTGTCTTTGAAGAAAATATATCTCTCTCTGAGCCTAACTTGCCCCATCCATATAATGGGAATCATAACCACCAAATTTAGGGTAGTGTTAAGCTTTACTGAATAACACACGTAAAGCACCCAGGACAGTCCTGGAATAGTGGGGCTCAGGAAACATCACCTATATGCCAGCAGAATAACACATTTTCCCAAATCTGTCTCTGTTTACATCATTCAATTTGCTTTAATTCTCATCTCCCTATAGTCTGACTGTTAACGTTCCAGCAAGACTTACTTTTTCCTGTTATCATCAGCCTAACTAGAGAGTTCTCCTTTATTTAAAATAGGATAGTCTTTGCATCACACTAAACTTAACATATATTAAAGCTGTTAAATGTTAAAGTTGTCTCATAATGTGTGTAGTATAGGGACCTATATCTGATAAGGTGGTTATGTGTGTACATCTCTTACCTACTTTACTTACTTCTAAGCTCCTTGAGGATAGCACCTGAATTTTATATTTCTTTGTATAGTCTATGCAGCATCTAGTACTGTACTGTACACTCAATTAAATATTTGCCACATTATCGGATTAATAATAAAGAAGAACTATCAGCTATGAAATCTGCTGACACATCAATCTAAAGGCATATCCTTTCTCAACACCCCAAACAGCAAGATAAATACGAAAAGGCAGCGTCTGAAACAAGACCACTCTGGATTCAGACCTCGGTTCCTCCACATCCTAGCTGAGTGGCCTTTTGCAAGTCACTTAGCTTCAGTTTCCTCTTTTGTAAAGAGAAATTATAATCCTACTTTCAGCACTGTTATGAGTTTAAAATGACAAAATAAATGTAAAGTACCCAGGAGAATGCCAAGATATATCCATTATTAAAACATGATTGTTTCTGTCTCTTTTCCTACCATGTAAGAAAGTATTCCTAGTCTAGCCAATTTCACATAACATTCAAATAATGAAAATTACTTGGAGGAAATTATTTAAGATGCATTAAAGTACTATAAAAATTGGAATAAACACTACTGTTCTCCTTCCATTACCGAAAAATAAAATATAAAATTGGAAAAAGTTACCACAGGAAATGTTTCCAGACTATTATTAATAATAATACACCATCTGGGTATATTACCTTTCAGAGGATTTGGACATGGTAATAATCATTAGCGAGAGGGAAGCAAAGGAAATGGAAGTGGGATATTCTCCCTGGTAAATGATAGTCAGCAATGTATTTTAAAACAGTAAAGTGTTTTAATGAGGTAAAACCACAGTGTTATATTTATACTATTATATTTTCTCATTTATATGAAATATTATTAAAGAGGTGGTTTTTTTTTGCATTGAAAGTACAGTAAACTCAGGACTAATTCTTAAAATGAGGATAAATAGAAAGTGCCAGAAATTTGTATTTCAGAAAGTTGAAAGAAGGTAAGAACAGTTCCAGAAAGACATATACATTATTTAAAAAGGAACCTTATGAATAGTGATTTATGGCTTTCTAGCTCCTATTTTTTTAGTATCAGATAAAGTTAAATATATAGCTTCAAAGTAGTTTTCTGATCACCTGTACTAGAAAGATATAGAATACTTATAACATGGGAAATAATTATAAAAAAGAACAGAAAATCAACCCAGTCAGTGCCATAGGAGAATTTAAATTATACAGGTATCTTTATAGCCCTCTTAAAGGGCCATTATTATTAATACACCCTTTTCCCAACTAAAGAAAGAGAGACAACTGAGAAAAAAAGAACAAAAGCAAATGAAGGGTAAGAGTTATCTTAGTACAACTTGCACATTGTATGAACTCATTACAAGTGATTTGATTAGCTTTCTTTCCTCAGTCCTAGTGATTTTACACCATCATCTGACTCTCCATTATAGTTTCTGAACATACCTTAACTTCTTTACTAACACCTCTGGTAAGGCTGGAATGAGACTTGATGATCAACAAAGAAGCATAAGATGTCCATCCCACAAAACCAAGAACAACAGTGATGCCCAAAAAGAATCTGTCATAAGTGTGATAATAGGACAGTCCTCTCAATGCAAGATGAATCAGCTCCTTGCAAAGGGAGACCTATGGAAAAAGAAAAATATAACTTACCACATGGGAATAATAAGAAAACCTAAGTCTCAAAGGAAGGAAAATTATTAAAATTAGAGTGAGTAACTGTAGATGCTGGATCAAGAAAAGATTTTAATTGTTTGAGGATCTTGCAAAGTAGAAGAAAAATTCCTGAATACAATGAATGTTTAAATCTTGATTAAAAAAAGGTATTTTAAATGTAAACTATTTATGATACATATAGTGATTTAAAATGATTCATTTTGTGGAAATTATCTTCAGATGACATGAAAGAAAGAAATGAAGGCTCTCTAATAGAGGTCCCAAATAACGGAGATGCCCACATTTATATCATTTCTTACTCTCTCATATCAGATTACCCAAATCAGTTATAAAACATCATTAAAATAGCTTAGTATTTTAGAGGAGGAGAACAGCTTACCATTTTAAAAGCATAACAAAATTAAGCATTAGAAATACATGGTATTACTTAGGCAATGTTAGAAACTGCAAATAGAATTCTATCCTACTTTAAAATTATATGACCATTTAACAAAGAAAAAATTAATGAAAAACACAGTAGGGTAGGAGTCGCAAAGAGTCAAAGCTTCAATATGAATCATTAGACTTTTGACAGTGTGTAGATAATTCCAAATGTACAAATATGTCAAGTTCTAAAATAGTATGCATAAGTAGGGTGATAGAAACTTGGAATACACTTGCTCATTATAGAAAACGGCAATTGTTCATTTCCAATGCCAACCTAAAAAAGTTTACCCATAATATTATCCGAAATAAGAGAAGTATGTCCACAGCAAAAGAAGCTACTTAGGAAATTCAACTCTATCTTGAGGGTTCAGGAAAGCTCCCTGGCGTGCCCACTTTGCTCTCCATCGCCATACTTTGCCCCTCCCCATACCTGAAATGACGATCAGCTATTTAAATATACAAGGCCTGCATACTTACTGCTTCATCATACTTTCTCTGTTTTATATAAGATCTTGCTTTTCTTAAAATGTTGAGCTGTTTAGACTCAGAAAGCAACCTACCAAAGAAAAAAAAGGTTAGGTTTAAAATGTTTCCTCATTTCAATTATATTTTTTCTTGTTTTTTTTCGAGGAAGATCAGCCCTGAGCTAACATCCATGCCAATCCTCCTCTTTTTGCTGAGGAAGACTGCCCTGGGCTAACATCTGTGCCCATCTTCCTCCACTGTATATGGTACACCGCTACAGCATGGCCTGACAAGCGGTGCATCGCTGAACTCCCGAGGTTCTGAACTCCAGCCGCCAGTGGCGGAGCGCGCGCACTTAACCACTACGCCACTGGGCTGGCACATTTTCTTGTTTTTTTTTTGCTTAATTGACAATAAAAAGATGGTGAAACTTGATAAAATAAAAATAAAAAAAAAAAAAGGAAAGAAACCTCAAGCTAAATTGTATTATTGCTGGTTATCTGAAATCTTCTAAGAAATAGCTTATAGTTAAATTTGGTTTTCTTGACTCAAAGTTTTAACTGCCAAACCACACTTATGACACTCATATAATCCATCATTTTGAAGAAATGTAATACTCAGGCTAACAAAGAAATTCTGATTAGATCAACACAATTAATGGAACAGCAACTAGTGTTGTGAGTTCCACCACCTAGCCCTCCCGTGCTCATTGGCACACACAACAGACAGGGCAGATCCATCATGGCGCTCACCTTGTACCCGTAAGCCTGATAAGGCCTGAGAATTTTCATTATCAAAGAGCTCCAGGCAGAGCCTAACCAACAATCAGTTAATGAACAATTTGAACCTATTTGCTGTTCTTATACTGTATCACAGGACTTTTTTGTTCCCCTATCTTTCATTTTTCTTTCCATCATTTCCCTGTCCTTGTTTTACCACAGTAGAAACCTTAAACACACAAAAGAAATACTCCTAATATTGCATAAACTGAAAAGATATATATCTAAAGGCATTAAGTTTATGGAATGTAGAAACTGAGGAAATATAATTAGAACTCAATTACCTTATTGAAATAAATAAGTATATTTAAATACAAAATTGAACATATACTGCTTAACTAACACCACCGCACTCCTAAAATGAGTGCAAAAAAGTTATTTAAGGATATATTAGATCATATGAAATTGACATATTTGTATGTCAAAACTACTAAATTAAATATTGGCAATTTCATATGGTTCAACATAATATAATCATCTTCTCTCTACTTGGTTCCAGCACTCTCTGAAGAGATAAGATTGAGATTTACAGGAAGTAAATCTTTTAAGCTATGTTATTAATTTGGGTGTGGTCACAGACTTCCTTCAGTGACTGAAACTCTCTGTCTAGAAAATGCACATAATCTGAAATCTTTCATATAATCTCAGAAAATTCATGAACCCCAGAAGCTCATCTATGTACCCTCCAGAGTTCTATAGGAGCTCCTGATTAAGAATTGGTGCCTATTCCAAGGGATCCCAGATCTTTCAGACTACCGGAAAATTCCCCACCCCTGGACTCACTGGGACTTGGAGGAAAAAGGTACCAGGAAGCAGTAACACATGAGGGAAAACGTGTTACTTCAAAATGTTGCCATGATCCTGTTCTTTGTCCTTCAGACACCACACATTTTGGAATATTTTCCTGGAAGTCTTAGAAATGGAATTACTGGGCCAAAGGCCACAGGCATTCTCTGAAGGCTATATATCTAAGTTGAATTTTCCAAATTTCTATAAAACCCTGCTAGTTGATCTCCCTCCTCTTGCTCTGATCCATTCAGCTTCCTAAAATACTGACTGCATCTTCTAACTTGCTTGAAATTGATATGGGCATCTTATTGTCTACTTCATCAATTCTCAACTTCCTGGACTATTGATGACCATCTCCTATGCTACTTAATTTCCCATTATCCCAAGTGTATACTCTCAGCTATAAAATGGCTAAACTCTTCATTCTTCCCCTATCTTGGTATTCACATCTGAGTTCTTATTCATAAAGATCTTCCCCTCTCTGCCTTCCAAAATCAAATCTTCATTATCCTTTATGGTCCACTCCAAATCTCACCTCAAACCATTAGCACTTTAGTGTGGTCTAATGATCAACTTATTTCTCTTCAATTAAATTTTAACCTCCATGGGGGCCATTAATTATTTCCATGAATATCCACAATAATACTTAGCAACGTGCTAAGCACATAAAATGAATCAATAAATCTTAATTGATTAAAATGCTATCAAAATATTGCAGACCTAAAAAAGGAAGAAAAATCAGAGAATAATATACATTGCCAATCTCAAAGCACTTAACAATTTGCTAAATTAAATAAAAAGATGAAAAAAAAGCTTGTCAGGAACTAAATTTCTTAAGCTAATTTAATACATGTTCTCAAGTGAAGTCCTAAGAAGAATGAGAGAAGAAACATTTTTAAAGAGAAATTTTAAACATTATGTTAATTACATTACATTATATGATATGCAAAATATTATGTTATATATGGAGTACTTAGGTAAGGAAATCAGGACCAGATTAATTTATATTTTTCCTAACTGGACTATATATAAATTTTGGGACATATCAAAGGTTCAGAATATATCTGGAATGCATCAAAATGTTCTGTACAGACTTCACTGTAGCATTATGACATTAAAGACTCTCATAAACTTGTCCCCCAATATAATTTTCTATAATGGTGGCATAGCGGTTAAGTGCGCGTGCTCCGCTGCAGCGGCCTGGGGTTTGCAGGTTCGGATCCCAGGCGTGGACCGACGCACCGCTCGTCAAGCCATGCTGTGGCAGCGTCCCATGTAAAGCAGAGGAAGATGGACACGGATGTTAGCCCAGGGCCAATCTGCCTTAGCAAAAAAGAGGAGGATTCGCAACGGATGACAGCTCAGGGCTGATCTTTCTCACCAAAAAAAAAAAAGAAGAAGAAGTTTTGGGAGAAATGTAAAGTCCAGAATATAAGGTACAGTATGTTACTATGTATGTAAAAAAGACAAAACAAATAAAAACAACAAAACAAGAGGGTTTGGCAGGGGAGTAATCAAAGGAAAACCATAGACAAATTAAAATGAATGAAGGCATCTGCATGTGTCAACATGGATAAATCTTGAAAATCATACTGAATGGAAAAAAGAGAATTGTAAAAAATTTGGTAGATTTTAAAAATAGGGATTCAATTATATTACACCATTTTATTTCTTAAGGAAAAAAGAGGATCTAAAGAAATATGGTAAAATATTAACATTTCTTAAATCTGGATTGTGGATACAAGGATTTTTGTTATATTCTCCATTCTTTTTAGCATCTGTAAAGTATTTCATAATTAAAATTTAACATAGGTTAGCAAGAGGGATCTATATGCATATGTACACATGTAAACAAGATATATATAGACAGATGCATAAGAAATCACAACTCTGCCTCTAGAGGAAAAGACTGTAAGACTGGAACACAGGAAAGGTAACTTTTTACTATCCTTTATGTAATTTTTATTGTGTTTATGCATTACTTTTTCATTAACATTTTACTAACAAGGTTTTTTTTAATAAAATAACTAAAACATTAAAATTTAACCAGAGTTTCTGGCTATGATGGAGAAGTCTGGGCATACAATGCTCCCACCAGGAACAACTAGAAAGTCTGATAAGGAAACCAGAGAGGAGTAATCCAACATTCTATAAACTGTAACCCTTAGGGCATCTGCCATTCTTGTTCTTGGCACAAGGTAAAAGGCTGAGAATTTGGGCATACAGCTGCTGCCTGGAGGTAGAGAACTCAATAGAGCCTTTGGCAATCTGAGGAAACTGCAGAGATAAAAATTAAAATTTGCGGCTGCCAATGCAGCCAGGACTTGAGGACCCTAAGAGAAGAAAAGTAAGAGAATAATATAAAATTCTCATTCTAGATTTTAAAAAAGGACATGAAAAGAAAGTTATCTAGAATTACTAATTTAATACAGATTCTGAGGTGAAGTCTTAAAGAATGAGAGAAGGAACTTTTTTTGTTTGTTTATTTTGTTGTTGTTTTTTCATGAGGAAGATTAAGCCCTGAGCTAACATCCATTGCCAATTCTCCTCTTTTGGCTGAGGAAGATTGGCCCTGGGCTAACATCCATGCCCACCTTCCTCTGCTTTATATGTGGGACACCGCCACATCACGGCTTGCTAAGTGGTGCCTGGGATCCAAATCTGCAAATCCTGGGCTGCTGAAGCAGAGCATGCAAACTTAACCACTACGTCACCGGGCCAGCCCCAAGAGAAGGAACTTTTTATACGCAAGAATTTATATTCTATTATATAGAGAGAACTCAGGTAAAGAAATAGAGGCCAACTCCCTCTGAGAAGGGAGGTAAAAAGAGAGGTGAGCTTGACACTCAGCTGAATTCTTCAGCTGTGTAGGACAAGAGGACAAGAAGCTAAGAAAGGCCCTGAAAAGTAGGACAGTAGTTCTGGAAGTCTCAAGATACATAAGAGACAAAACCTGGTGTTCAGAAGCCACTGGAGAGGAAGAGCTCTAGATAACACAACAAGCTTTCAACTGAGATCTCGGGAGGCTACACTCTTAAAGAACAGAGCCAAGCCACAGGGACAAGGAGACAACAAAACTGCAACACAGCCTGGAGCCAGCTCCACGCTTCGTGCTCGTCAGAGGATAAGGTGAAACCTCTCTGGAAAATGAGACAACCCAGAGCTTCTAAGACTTTTAGTACACAATGACAAGCATTCATTTAAAAGCCACCAGACTCAACAACAGGACCAACTGAATAAAGACAATAGAAACAAACTCACAAATAATATGGTTATTCATGTTGTTATCAAGTATAGAACTTTAAAATAATTGTGGTTAAGATATTCAGTAACCGAGAACAAGATAGAAAATTGCACCAAAGAACTGGAATTTATTTTTTAAATGAAAATGGAAATTCTAGAATTGAAAAAAAGGTAATAACTGAAATTAACAACTCAATAACAGCAAACTGGACAAAACAGAAGAGAGATTTGGTGTATGAGAGGATAAGTCAGTAGAAAATATCCTGCCTGCACCTTGAAG